GCAGCAAGCAGCAGCAGGCAAAAGCAAAAGTTTAAACCAAAGTAAAAACTTTTGAAAATAGTGATGGTCCCCAAGGACCATCATACTTAAACAGACCATCACCTATTTAAAAGCATCTTTTCTCTTTTTTTTTTTTTTTTTTTTGAAATTTTAGGATTGTTACACAAGCCAAGCATTAACCATATTAAACGAGATATTATCAAATGAGATGTTTTTGTGGCGTACTTGTTTCTTCCACATGCAAGCCTTAGGCATCTTTGGGTTGATGACCAATGCAGGCTTGGTAGCTAGAGCTCGAAAATGCTCATAGATCTAGCATTGTAGAAAAAGAAAAAAAGCAAGAAGCCTACATAATAGAGATAGTGAGAAATGCCTGTAGTAAGGTTGCTGACCCACTAAAATGATTATTTTTCCCACCTGCTACCTTAGACAAGGAACGATACAAGAAAGCAAGAGCTGCAGTACCCCATGCATACTTCCCTGCCTCATAAAAATATCGAAACAATTGCAGATATATTGAAAGTGTCGATCCTTTAAATGAGTCAGCAAATATAGTTGTTCCAACTAAATAAAGGAGACATGCTCGTGTGTATTGCGTGAGTTGTAATTTGGTGGTTTTTTTGGTAGTTAGCCGAATCGACTCAACCATGTATGATTTAGACGCATCGGGGTGATATCTTTAGTGCAATCTCCCAAATACTCCTTGACAAAAACAATATAGTTTTCAGGCCTGATGTTGGTTACAGGCTTTCCTGTCATGGGTATCCTTAATATCTGCCATACATCGTATAATATTGGAGTCATTTCACCGATGCCCTCACTAGGTTGCAATCGATATGCGAGACCCCAATATCCATCAATGGGCTCAACCCAGTCTTATGAATTAGAGTTACCTGTTGTTGATCGAGCTTCCATTTTGCTAAGGCTTGAGTTGATTCATTAATACGAAGTATATTTCTCTCCTAAAATGAAAATTAACAAGAAATTGCAATACTCAGTCACATGAGAAATACCTAATTAATGTAAATCACTAACTAAAACAAATAGATCATTGTACCTCATGCCTTTGACCTTATGAAGTGGATGGCTCCCTTGTGCCTCGTAGTTGTTCCGGGTCTTGTATTACTAATTATATTTTCATAATTGGCATAAAAAGTTAACCACAAGTAGCATATTCAATAAGAAAAGAAATAAAATATTGGCATATCCAATCCAATAAAAAAATAGATGGAACAATGGTACATCCAATATATGTGAGCTAATCTCGCTAAATGAATTAAAATGAAACAAACACTATAAACAAACACCATTAATATCCACTAATAAGTAGTATATCCAATAAAAAAGAGCGAGACAAGTGGCATATACAATATATGTACTGACAAAAATATATGTAATGACAAAATTTCCTATAAGTGGTCGCTACAATTTAAAAAGACAAAATAAAGAAGATAACTAAAAAAAGGTCCTTCAAGTAGGTGCTTTACATGTTGCCTTGCTGTGACTAGTTCCTTTGCACCTACTACAGTGAATAGGTTGTACTGGTACTTCCTGCAACTCGATGCGCTTCTTTTTAGGTTGGCCAGGGGGCCGTCTTGAGTGAGGTGAAAGTACTCTTATTCCATCTAGATAAAGTTGTCTACGCATACGCCCAGATAGATCGATCAAGGTAACTGGCACGATAGGTTCAGAATATGTTTCACAAAACTTTACAACCGTGAAATAGTCTTTACAATAGTCAACGAAATCCCTATTCATCCATTGAAGGCTTTACAAGCATGTTTGCAGGGCAAACCCGTAATTTGTCAACCTTGACATTCACATTCTTGTGCAATTATATTTACCTTATAATTCATGCGATCATCTCTTGCTTCAAACACTGCTCTATTTGATACAGTGACCTTAACGGACAGGGATTGCTTTATGATTTTTCTCAGTTCGTTTTGCGCGTATGGGGTAACTGTTGTAGTCCAAGTTTCAGCTTCCAAGCTGCGGGTGACCATTAGTTTCATGATTTGCCTTCTAATCAAGTCAACATACTGAAGAATTAGCATGTCGTCACGTGCTTCTAGAATCCACTTGTTATATGACTCAGCCACATCGGTTGTTACTTGATATCAGTAGGCAAAGTATTTTACAATTGCCTTCTTAATATCAGTAGGTATGTCTTTACTTCCTTCTTGAAATTCTCCACTAAATGACGCTCACAAAAGGCATGATGGGCATTCTAAAAAACTTGACAAACATTATCAACTAGGCCAGGGTGTCTATCAGACAAAAAAACTATTTCACGATCTATCCCAATAGCAATCTTTAGAGATTCCAAAGACCATAACCAGTTGTCGGTACTTTCGGCATCCACAATAGCGAATGCAACATGAAACATTTGTTCTTCCCCATCGAGTGAGTTGGCAGCAAGTAAAGTTCCAAGGTATCGTGCCTTCAGTGATGTCCCATCGAGAAATATCAGTGGACGACATTCACTTTTGAAGCCATGTATTGAGCCATAAAAGCTTAAGAACATTCAACAAAGTATGCCATCTTGCCATACTTGTCCTATGGTATAACTATCAGGATTCGTCTCCATTACTCAGTTTACATGTGCGGGTAACTGGTTGTATGCCTCATCGTACGAACCATGTATGTCTTTGATGACAATTTCTTTCCTTCGTCAATCCTTGCAATAGGGTATTTCTAGCCCATAATCTCAAGACAAATCATTCGTGATTTTTTTGGCCTTGTAATGCGCAGTGTCTCTTAATTTATCCTTGATTAATGATGCAATAAATTTTTGTAACGCTCTTCTCTGTACATCATTGCTTGTTCCAATATTACATGAGTGTTCTCTTTTCCATGTTTTGATGCTAACGACAATCGTCTTAACAAACTTTGAAGCGTATATCTCCCATTTGCATCTGTCACCCTTGCATTTCGCCCTTACGCGATACCCCTCATTTTTAACAAGACGGTAACTGAGAAAGTGTGCTATAGCAAACTTGCTAAGGGCTTCTCGGAAGTCATCTGGAGATTCAAATTGTTGGCCTATACCGGTAAGTGCATCATCTCATGAACTAAGCAACCTTGGTGCATTACTTTGTTCAGAACTAGAGACCAAAACATTAGAGGTTTGGAGGGGTCTGACCTCTTCGATTGTCCTAGTATTATGTGAAGTACTTCGATCCCATCAATTACATAAACCAATATATCATTCGCGCCTTCATGTGCATGCAACATTATCTCAATATCATCGTCAATGAATAGATTCATAATAAATCTTCTATTTCTCGGGATAAAATGCCTCAATGATATCAAATGTATATCTAGCGAGAAACGCTCTACTGTGTACTTTTGCAGGTCATCTAACCTAGTTCTACTTTCAATCATAAATGTACGTATATCACTACCAATATAATCCAAAGTCTCATCGATATTTGATTGAAGTTCTCCACAAAAAATACAATAAATCAATCTTCTATTACTCATTTTCTTTTGTCCTGCACAAGATTTGTAATAATGTACACCCCACAGATAAACAAATCCAATGATTATCTGAATACAACACTAATGACTTTGTGGATATAAACATAGACTAATAAATGATTCCAATGCATTTAAAACCCAATCCTAAAGTTCTTGTAGATAAACAATACCATCTCTAAGCTACAATTCAATCTAACAATATAGATAAACACAATTATGATGCAAAGGAGTTAAAAATCAAAATTGCTCAATGACAACAGGAAATGGAAGCAATTGTGATGCAAAGGAATTGCTTCATGGAAATAATTGAGTATAGGTGTTCACACAAGCAATTCTTCAGTTAATATACGATCATTGTCAAATGATCTAAAACCCATTTCCAAAGCACAATAGTAAATTCATTTACCTGTTCTCTTCTAGTGAGTTCACTTAATATCTCTTCTTGTCATTATACAATTAATATCTCACCCTATTTGTCACTCTCAGTATGAACTTCATACTATCTCACCTAAATCCTCACTCTAAGAATTAATAAAGTCCAATTAATATCTCTTTTAGTCATTATACAACAACTCTCACCCTAATCGTCACTCTCAATATCAACTTCATCCTATCTCACCCTAATCATCACTCTAAGAATTCTAAAATGGTAGAATTGAACATAAATAAAGTCTAATTAATATCTCTTCTAACAATTATACAACAGCTATCTCATCATAATCTTCACTCTCAGTATCAACTCTCATTATACAACAAAGGTGTCAGTTGAACCTTTGAAAATGAATAACATGCTTCCCATACGAGATTTACAGTGCTTATAAAGAATAAATTCGGCAACTAGAATATCATAGCATATTCATTTTTCATTCCAATTGGAGAGAGAGAGAGATATGCTTCATGATATGAAACAAGACCTCGATTTTATATGCTGAGCTAAATAAAAATATGCAAAGAAACCAAAAGAAAATAATACAGCAACATGTCTTAATTATTTATGCCCGATTTAATCGATGTAATAGAATACTCAAGGGATAAAGGACAATGTGAGGATATGAAGAAACGGGAAAGACCCTCCTCTTCCACAACATTCCCATCACATTCAAGAACTCTTTGAATACATTTACAAACCAATGCAATCGCCCATAAAGAAGAAATAGTGCCTCCTCAGAGGAAGATGGGGAGTAAACAATCACAAAATGACAAGCTCAAATAATACCATGAAACTAAGAATATAATATATCAATTTGGACTGAAATTGTTATTAAATTAGTTAAAAAGAAAAAACAACTGAGTAAGAGAAATGTCAATCCCCATAAAGAGAGAGAAAAAACCAAAGCATTCATTGTCACTGCCGAATCAAATACAAAGTTTCGAAGAACAATAACCCAACAAGAGATTCGAGCGATTTTATTAAATACAACAAATACAACAAATTTCGAAGAACGATTCATTGTCAATACCAAATCAAATACAACCCAACAACAAATTCATTGTCAATGCCAAATCAAATACAACAGATTCATTGTTATTGCCAAATCAAATAACTCAATGCCAAATCAAATACAACAGATTCATTGTCAATGCCAAATCAAATACAACAAATTTCGAACAACAATAACCCAACAACAGATTCGAGCGATTTTATTAAATAAATATGTAAATATGCTCTGTTTTATATGAAATAAAATAAATAAAAATTTACCTTATATGGGGCTGATTTGGGGTAAGCTAAAAATGGAAATAGGGCTATCGGGTTTGGGCTGGGAAAAGATTTTGAGAGCCCAATGGTATCTTTTGAAGAGAGAGACGGAAAGAGCTCGGGCCTTAGTTTGGGCGTTCCTTCGAAGAGAGAGAGGGAGAGAGCTTTTAACCCACGAAAGAGAGCATGAGAGGGGGCTTGGGCCGTAGAGAGAGAGTGAGAGGAGGGGGCTCGAGATGGAGAGAGAAAGCGAGAGATGGAGAGGAGCTCGGGCCGTGAGGGAGAAGGCGTGGGAAAAACAAAGCTTTTGGGTGAAAGAAAACTATGCGGAGAAAAAAGGTCTGAAGAGAAAATGATATTTTGAACCTTTTTTATTTTTATTTATTTTTGGGTTGGGGGGTTTTTGCCAAGATAACTCCTTAAAAGGGAAAAAAAAAGATGAGAGAAAAAAGTTAGAGGGGAATAAATTGAGTGAATAGTTTATATTGGAGGGATTTTTATAATTTTCCCCATATTTTATGTATTTTTAAAATTTCCAATTCTTGTTCAGAATCGGGCGAAGCAAACAGGGAATTGCTTCGGTTTTTCCTACGAAAATGGAAGTGGGCTCCCAGGTGAATGTGACAACACGTGAAAGTCCTCACACTCTCATTAACTCACTTTATTTCCAAAAACACAGACCTGTACCTGCTCTCTCACGAAAGCTCCCTCACCCCTCCCTCTCTAAATGGAAGCCCCCCAGCTATCATGCCTTTACCCTCTCCTTCATCTTCTTCTTCTTCTTTTGCTTGCTTCCTTTTCAGATTGGAGTTGCAGAAAGAGAGAGGGAGTGAAGAGAGAGAATGGGGAGGGGGAAGATTGAGATAAAGCGGATAGAGAACTCGGCGAACAGGCAGGTGACTTATTCGAAGAGGAAGAGCGGAATACTGAAGAAGGCCAAGGAGATTTCGGTTCTATGCGATGCCAAGGTCTCCCTCGTCATATTCTCCAGTGCTGGCAAAATGTCCGAGTTTTGCAGTCCATCCATCGAGTATCTCTCTCTCTTCTTTGGGTTTCCTATTGTTTTTGGGTTTAGTCTCTCTCTGTTTTTTGTTTCATTTGTCTCTGGGTTCTCATTATTTCCTGTTTAGATTCTTTTGTTTGTTGGGTTTTCCTCTCTCTCTCTCTCTCTCTCTCTCTCTCTCTCTCTCTCTCTTCTCT